ATTTCCAGTCCCAAATAGTAGAATATGGGAATAGACAGAAATCAGATCAAAGCTAGAACTAAAAGAAGCAGGGAAAATCTTCAATCCTGTAATTGTTTGTTCATCACCCAGGTCAGGTTGTGGTGATATGTTAACTCCAAAGCCATTGGTCAACCTTCCCTCTACAGCACTTCCTGTCCAGGCATAGCGCTTTTCCTGTGGATTGGATCAGCCTACTGCCTCTAGCTTTTCTCAGCAGACAGGCCACATTCCTGGCACCTCCAGATTCCAGGGGCTTGAAGTACACCTTGGGCTTCATTCTCACAGCTTCAGACACTCCTATCTTATGGACTTTTGGTGGGGTTTGTGCCCCTGGATTTCCAGGCCTTCTGATATCTTGGGGAGAATGCCTCCCTAAACTCATAATTCTTACACTCACATATGCCTGAGAACCTTCCTCACCTGGATGATGCCAAGGGTAGCTGCTATCCTGAGCAGCATCTGCCCTAGCTCCTGGCCATAGCTGCAGCACTTCTTAGTGCCTGAATGGCTGAACACAAGAAGAAAATTCCCTAGGCAGACCTCAGTGAACTGTGTCTCATAGACTTTGTTTTCTAATGAAAGAGCTACAGTTTTGCACCTTTGTGCCTATAATTGTTCCGTTCTTGCTGATTCAAAGTACATTTAAAGTATTCTGCTTTTCTGCACATACAAACTACATGACTTCCTTTTAATGCTATTTATTCCAGGGAGGGGAGGGCACAACCATACTCTTTTGCCCCATTTTTTGTGGGTGCTTATGTTCTGGAGAAACTGCAAACCTCTTGTATCATTTAACTCAAGCATGTATTCCTCAATCTTACTGTAGATCTTCTTGAAAGTGCCAGCAGTATCCAGGCACAGCCTAAACACTGGGCTGCATTGAAAGTTATTCTACCAGATTAATTACTCTGCTGTGCTAAATCTCATCCTCTTGGAAAGTCTTGTGACATGAGCAAAACATAGACAAATTTTCTGTCAGAGAGAAAGACACATGTTTCCAGCCCAGCTTCCAATAAGTTTGTTGTTCCCAAATGTACCTCACTGACTGGTGACAGTCCTGTTAGAGTTTTGATCAGCAGATCTCTAAACAGTGTTACCCATTAAGCACTCATTAGCACATTCCGGGGTTAGAGCCCACACAGGAGAGTCTTTCCAAACTCCTCCTCCAAATGAGTTCCAAAAGCCTCAGAACAACACGATATTATGTACAGCCTCAGCTAGGACTGCAGTCATGTTTTCAGATTTCAGCATTAGTTATTCTTCTATTTCTGGTACAAATTACCCACCAGTTCCAATTCAAGTTTGAGAAATTCATTAAAATTGAAAGTTGAGATGTTTAGTCCATGACCTACGGATACATATTAGAAATGTTGCGGCAGAGCAGCATGGATGAGGAATCTCTTTCACTGCATAGTAGCCAGGAAGAAGAGCAAGAGGAGCCCATTTTTCTTTCAGATGGCCCTCAGCAACACCATTCAATATATTTGTAGTCACCCTGGGAAAACCACAGCAGACTTTCAGAACTGCTTCAGAAAGTGGAGAATATGTTAGCATAAAGATCTCCAAAATATTTTTGTGTGGGGGGTGGGTCATTTGAGGAGGACTAGTAGCAGTGCATCTTTTTCGGTAATGCTGGACCTTTCCCTCAGCTATCACTAGACCACTTGGTAAATGCAAAATCCTTTTAGATTTCAATTTATAGGAAAGCCTTGATCACAATAGATCTTAATGGGACACACTTACTGGGTTGAAAAAATATATATAGAAGTTGAGTGCCTTACTCCACTCAGGCTGCTCTAACACAATTTGCAAGCCATGTGGCATATAAATAACAATAATTATTTTCTTACATTCTGGAGGCAGAAAATTTCTAGATCAAGGTGTCAGCAACATCGGTTCCTGTTGAGAGTGCTTCTCTCATTGTGGACTGTGAACTTCTCATTGTGTTGTCACATGGTGGCAGGGGTAAGTTAAGTTTCTGGGATATTCCTTTTACAAGAGCACTAATCTCATTCCTCAAGGTTCTACTCTCATGACCTAATCATCTCCCAAAGGCCACATGGCCCTAAGTTTAGATTATTGACTAAAGATTATTCAGCATATGAATCTTAAGAAGGACCACACACACATTCAAACCACAGTGCCAATGTTCTGAATGTTAGAATTTCACATCACTCGAAATATGTGGTCATCTTGTAGGAAAAGGGGCCTGGTAACTTGGTCTCCTTTGTTTAAGATTTCTACTGTGATCCCAGTACTCCAGAGGCTGAGGTAGAAGGACAACTATGAGTTCAAAGCCAGCCTGAGCTACATAGTCAGTTCAAGAACAACCAGAGTGCAAAAAGAGACTCTGTCTCAAAAAAGAATGAACACTGCCATACCTCAAAAAACAAAATATTATTATTATTATTATTATTATTATTATTACTTTAAATGCATGTAGTACAGGGTCTACAGGGTCTCACTACACAGATTGGACTTGTGATCCTCCTGTTTTCACCTTCCCAAGCACTGGGATTATAGAGACACATCACCATGCCCAGTTTCAGTCTCAACTCAGCACACCCAAGGGTAGGGGCTGGGATCGAACCCCAGTCCTTGTGCCTATCTAAGTAGGTGCTTTAGTCCACTGAGCTATTTAGTTGGCCCAACAAAAGATTATTGACTAAACTTTGTGAACCTGATTTATTCTTATAAGAAGGAAAGCATAATTATATAGAATATTGCTGATTGTCCCTAGATATCCAACTAGACACTTTCCCGAAGAACTCCCCTTAAAAGAAATGGATATAAAAACTAAAATTATTAAAATAAAAAAGTATAAATGATTCTACCTAAATTTTGAGAAGATCAAAAACTTTGACAGACTCCCTTCATGGGTTTATTGCAGGAGAGAGTGAGAATGTAGGCATACAATAGTAGAGATTAGAGAAAGTCAGAGCTAAAGATGACTCTGAAAGAATTAGAAGATCAGGAAAACTATGGCAACAAATGGGAAAAATCAACAAAGTATGAATGACTATAGTCTCACCTCAAAAGTGTGTCTCCACAGATATTACTTTCCCCCTGTATATTCACCAATTCTCTAGAATATATACACTAAGGGATTTTGCTGCATTTCTCCAGTAATACAGAATTTGCACTCTCCTGCTCAGGTCCAAATCCACTCTGTCTATTTTACAGAGAGAAATTTCACCTTGAAGATTGAGATGGCTGCTGCAGAAATGAAGTTACCTATTGTAGAATCTGACTATGCTGACAGAGTTATAGATGTAGGAACAATCACCCTTGGAGAGGAGGCTAGGAAAAACAGGAAGGATCATCAACTGAACGCTCACGAGCGAGTAAACCTGCTAAGAGGTTTATCTGCTTCACTGAAGGGTAAAGTGGCACTACTCACAGGAAAAATGAAAAATGAAGGCTATGCTTATGAACATGGAATAGGACAAGATTTGGAACAGGCTTTTGGAAAGATTGTGTCCGATGTTCACAATCATCTTGATTTCATGGTGAGAGGAAGCACATTTTGGTTTTTTGTGAAGTCCAGCCTATGTGATGGGGAGTATGGCACCTTGAACACTCATTTGTACCGAAGGAATATCACGTGTACAGACCAAATGAATGAGAGTGCTGCACTCAAGTTCCTCAAGGAACTGAAAAGAACTGGAGGGAGATCATATTCCCCACCAATATTGCCAGAAGACAGGGCTTGTACTGATGAGAGTCACAATGAAGCAGTTGCTGCCAAATTTTTTAACAGTAAAAGGCTTATACAAAAGGAACTGTTCCACGTTACTGAATCCACTATACAAAATGGACAATTCCACATTACTGAATCCACTCATGTTGAAATTAAGACATTCAGGACAGAAAAGTGGTTGCAACGCATTAAAGAGATGCTTCCTAAGTATGTTTCTGCCTTTGCAAATACTGATGGTGGCTACTTGCTTTTTGTTTTAAAAGAAGACACAAAAGAAGAAACGGGCTTTAAAGCAGATAAGTGTGATCTCCTCACATCAGAAATGTATATAAAACAGACCATCAGGAAACTGCCTGTCTATCACTTCTGTAAGGAGAAGAAGGAGATAGATTACACATGCAAATTCCTTGAAGTCCATGATGAGAACCGACTTTGTGGATTTGTCTGTGCAATCAGAATAGAAAAGTTCTGCTGTGCTGTGTTTGCTGAAGACCCTGACAGCTGGCATGTGACAGATAACTTCGTGGTGCAGATGACTTCAATGGAGTGGGTCGAGTTCATGATGCAAGGTGAACCCAGTTAAAGAAGAGGGTTTTCTAGAGTGATGGGACAGTTTTCTTTTTGGGACTTTAACAATTGATAATTTTCCAATGTTAATACTTAATTTCCTTTCTCTGCTTTACTCTTATCAGAAACTCACTACCTCTTCCTTTCTTACACGCACTTAAAAGATACACTAGATAGTAAACCATTATCTACACTCACTAGCTGTCTCAGATACTTTTCACTCATTGCAGGGACAAAATACCTGACATTCATAACTAAGGAAGGAAAGGTTTATTTAGTTCACAGTTAGTGGAGGTTTCAGTCCAAGATCTGGAGCTCACTGCAGTGTTCTGTGAAAGTCCATATCAAGAGTCTGATGGATCTGTGATGGAAGCTCACTGAAAGGACTGAAGGCTGGAGCTGCTCTGAGGAAGTGGAACGCTCCATCCTTTCTCAGTTCCGTTTGGTTTCCTTTAAGTGATGAGTCCTTCTAGGGAGGCACTGAGCCAATTTAGTTAAGCTTTTAACTTCTCAAGTTGACACAACGTATCTACCACTACAGTAGCTCTGTGTTTTACTAAGCTATTTTTGTTGTTGTTGTCTCAGAAACAGGTTTATTTTAACCTATAGCTTTGGAGCTTCCAATCCATCCTTATTTGGCTATGTTATGTTGGTGACAGCATATGATGACAGACAGCATGGGGCAGAATAAACCTACTCACCTCACAGGGAGGAAGAGGAAGGAGGAGATCCTAGGGTCCCACAATCCCCTTTAAGAGCAAAGGAAAGAAGAGGAAGAAGCTATACCTCCTAGTCTTCTGCAGTAAAGTTGTAAAGCACTTGTGTTCTTTTATGCATAGCAATCTCTTTGCCAAACTGTGCTCCTTGCCTAAGACTTTACACATGATAATTTTTTCTAAAACTAAAAGTTTTTCAACTCTTTCTTCTCTATGATTTTGTGGTCCTGATTCTCTTTGTAAACTCGGCTAAAAGTAGCTGGTAATACCCATGTCACTAACTGAGAGCTTTGCTTCCTTAAAATTTCTTTGACCATATAAACCAGCTTTGTTTTTCTTTCACCTATAAATTCATCCTTCATTCAAGTTTCAAGGCATAGACCAAATGCATTCAAATTCTTTTTCACAGTGTAATAAGAGCACATCCCATTTCTTGTTTCCATCTAAAGCCTCACTGGCATAGCCTTAGTTGTCCACATTCCTGCCAGCATTCAGGTCTTGTAGTAGTATACAACAGAATTTCCTTTTAAGATTAGTGTAGGCAGGGTCAAGGAGAGAACTCAGCAGCCATAAGTGCCTGCCTGGCAAGCACAAGGTCCTGCATTCAGTACAAACTAAAAAAAAAAAATGAAAAAGAAAAGAAAATATGGAAAGAAAGACAGAAAGAAGGAAGGAAGGAAAGAAAGAAAAAGAAAGAAAGAACAAAGGAAAGAAAGAAACACCTAGACTATATAAACAGATATGGTCCTAGGAATGATTCAGATCATCAGCACCAGTTTTCTTTGTTAATCAGCTATACATGGTTATGACTAATACCTGAGAAAACTGGCTAATAGAAGGTGAGTCTTATTTATTTATTTATTTATTTATTTATTTATTTATTTATAAGTGGATGTGGTACAGGGTCTCATTATGCAGTGCAGACTCGTAGTGATGCTCCTGTTTTCAGCCTCCCAAACTCTGGGATTATAGGAGTGTGCCACCATGCCCACCCTGACTCGGTGGCAGGCTCAGTGCGCCCTGGGTGAGGGCTGGCAAGGCATGTGGTGTCAGGGATTAAACCCCAATCCCTGTGCTTGCATAAGCAGGCACTTATTCCAATGAGCTATCTCCCCAGCCTTCAGAGGCAAGTTTTAGCATTTTATCTGGGCTCACATGTCTGCCACTCCCTACTTGCAATACACTGGCTCCACTGCTTTAGACATGTGGCAAGGCAACAGACCACGGACTGAGCACATGGGGGAAGAAATCTGCTCAGCTCATGGCTGGCAGCGAATGACAGTGAAGGGAAGGGCATGTAACGCACTCCCCCGAACACCTTGCACTAGGATTCACCTCTTGAAAGCTTTCTCTCCATCTAGTAGTACCATCCCCAAATGCCAGCCTTTTGTACATGGAGCTTTGGGAGAGGAGAGGGATCTTTTAAGGTGGAAACAAAAGTTCCTCCCTAGTACAGACATCCACTTCACCCTAGGTATTTTTCTACCTACCACCTTTTTGTTTAGATTTTAGCAGACACTTCAAGCCTTCTTTCTCTTCTTTTTCCTCTTCCTCCTTCTCTCCATCTCTTACTCCTCCTCCTCTTCTTCTTGAGCTCAATTTCAGCAGTGGACTATTTCACAAGCACTAGCATCTTTTATTAGTTTCTTCATCCTTCCTTGTCTTCTCATTTACCTTTTCCTCTTAATAATTCTCCTTCTTCCTACATTTTTTTAAAAAAGATATAGCTTTAAATTTTATTCTTAAGAAACAAGAATGATGGTATTTTATCTGCATGTGGAAGAGAAAAGTTTTGCCTGAAATGAAAGGAGCTGTACCAACTTCTGAAGTGTCTGAAAATGCAAGATTCTTCCTCAGACTCTGCACATAATTCAGCTTTCCTTCCCTAGCCATTGTGTCTGTTAATTTTAACTAATTTTAGTAAGAACTGACTAACCAGTAAGAACTGGTTTTCTCAGATATCCTTATATATGCACATATTACTATGAATATTTTTTACTATTTTTCATAGGAAATTTAGAGTGCTAGTAACAAGAGTTAATTCTACAATTTCTATCTACCTAGGAATCTAATAACATTTTCAAATCATATTTCTTTGGGAAATCAGGGCCAGTTTTATTTAAGTTTTTAGTATGCTCTGCACTAGGTCATTGACATCTTCCATGTGCCACATTAAATGGGTGATCTTTATTTTCTAAGATTTTTCCAGGCCACTGGAAAAACTGAGCCATCAATCAATGGAGTTATCACGATTTAGGACCTGGAGTTTGTCTCTTTTTAAGAAGCAAAGAAGCCTAATGCAGAGATGTCAGCCTCCAGGTAGTTTAATTCTGGTTTCTTCTGATTGCTGCTGTGACCACGTTCAAGCCTCCTTCCTTCAAGACAGCCATGTCCTGAAATGTATTACCAGACCGCATTTTCGTGTTTGTGGAAATACTTTGGTATTTCTAATCATTGTATTTGTTATTAGTTATCGAATCTGTCAAATTCTAATCTTAATTGTGGTGGAAATTGATTAAAGTTTCTAGTTCTAACAGCAGATACATAACTTGAAAGTAAATGCAACAGAACTTAATTGAATGTCAGCAAAAAATTAAGGCCTGATATACAAGCCATGGGGTGGAGACTGAGAGCTAACTTCAGGCATGGGTATACATAGGTATGAAGAAATGCTGTCTCTCCTTTACCATTGGATGATGGGTATTTTATCTCAGCAATGAGAAAACTAAGACAAACAAATCTAATTATTTCAGCTCACAGTTTGTAGAGTTTTCAGCCATGCTCAGATGGCTGCATGGCAGGGAAACTTGATAGATGGACGTGACAGAGGAAAAACTGCAGAGCAAGGCAGGAGGAAGCAGCAGAAGAATGCCTTGATTTCCATTTTATCCCATCTGGGTACAAGGTTTTTGGGTGGTGCCATCCACATCCAGAACTCTGCTAAGCTAATCAGTGAACTAATTTACTTGAAATACACTCTTAGTGTGGGTATCACACATTCAGATCCAGCCACCTCCCAAAAGCTGTACCTGTAGACCTATGAGGCCTAAGAGGGGACATCTAGATATAAGACATAATGCTGTTATATGAACAATGTTTCTTATGGTTTGTGTCTAGTTGTCTCCCCAAAGCCTCATGCAGTCATGGGGCAGACTTCTAGACTTTGTGATTAATTCATGATCCAGTGCTGGGATTATGGGTGTGAGTATTGCTGGGATTATGGGTATGAGGGCTACACCCAGCCTGGGGCAGATAGACTGAATGCAACGTAAGACGGACTTATTCTCTGTTGCCATCATTGCTGCTACTCCTCTCACTTGCTGTTGCTGTTTTACTGTTTTCTGCTGCCATGTACTGCTGCCCTCTACTATATGCAACTCTGCCTTGGAGCCAACTGTGTATGGACTGAAACCTCCACTGATTGCGAGCTAAAAGAAACCTTTCCTTTCTTCATTTAGAGTGTCAGGTATTTTGTCCCAGTAATGAGAAAAGAGTACTGAGACAAAATTTGGTACTGACAGTGGGGTCATTACTTTGATATTGTCTGGCCATGTGACTTAAAAACCTTTGGAATTAATTTGGAAATGTTTTGAAAGACTGACCAAAGAGGCAGCCCTTGCATGCTATAAACTATATTGGAGACTCTGATTGGAGGCTGGAAAATCAGAGCACTGACAGAAATGCTGCCAGTTAAGATGAAGCTCAGGGGCCTGGGAGATAGCTCAGCAGACTAAATACCTGCTTTGGCAAGCACAGGGACCACGGTTCAATCACCAATCCTGCATTCTGCAACGGACTCTCAGGGGTGTGCTGAGCTGGTGAAAGAATCTAGGCATGGTAGGACATGCCTGTAATCCCAGCTCTGGGGAGGCTAAAAATAGGAGGATCACTATGAGTCTGAGCTGTGTAGTGAGACCCTGTACCAAATAAATAAAAAAAATAAGAAGAAGAAAAGAAAAGAGCAAAGAGTCAGTCAGGTGATAGGAAACATTTGGCCAGAAGAGTGACTCTAATAAAATCTTTGATTGAAAGGATGAAGTACATGACAATGTTTCTGTTAAGAACAGGACAATGTAAACATGAACTGAAGCTTTTCACCTGAAGATTATTGTTGAAATTATAGGAGAGCCCTGATTTTTCTTTTCTTTTTTTTAAATTTTATTTATTTATTTGTTTGTGTGTGTGTGTGTGTGTGTGTGTGTGTGTGTGTGTGTGGCCAGCTCAGCCCACCAGGGGGCGGGGCTGGCTGGCATGTGGTGCTGGGGGATTGAACCGCGGTCCCTGTG